CGCTTGAGATCGAGTCTGTTTATAATTTGAAAGGTAATCTTGTCAGTTGTATATACAAAAGGTAAATTGTTTACAAAATGAGTCTTTGTTTATTATCTGATAAATGTATACTTTTTTCGTCAATTGATTACGATTTCAGATGCCTTTTGTGTAAAATCCAAGTCGGATGTAAGCAAGCTAATAAATGTTCTCGTTAATCTTATCTCGCCTTTTGGTTCGTTCATGGTTACAAGAAATCACCACATAGAGTCTCTCAAGTCTCCGTAGATATAACAAACAGAAATAAATTACACAAAATAAATTGTAGCTATGCATCGATTCCGCGCGACACATCCGAACATGTAAGCCGAACATTAGTGTGGGGAGAGTGAGTAATCAAGGGTTGCATGGCGCTCAAACAAAAGACGAATCGACGAGATTTGAAAATTGCGTAACTCTGGGTTCGCATAAGTCGGGGTATGACTGTATATATAAACAGAAATAAAACCATTTAATATATATATCTGAAAGTTCTATGCAGATCAAAACATCATTATGTTATCAAATAGAATAACAATTTATGACGGCAAGTAGAAAGGAAAACATTAATTTATTATAATGAAATACAATAATTATAGAACTGACATTTTCATTTAAAAATATAAATTTTTATATGTATCAGTCATTATAATATATGTACAGAGTGTAACAACATTCACCTAGCATTTTGAAACACATCTTTTGTTCAATTATTGATCATAAGGAGTGATAACAAAAACATACATAGCTATCATGTTGTTACAACACAAGAAGAAATATTTCTTAAAAATAACTTCACTTAGATGTAATCTATCCAGGATCACACACTCATGCACTCGACTGACCATGTTTTCCATAACTTGTATCAACTGATTTTGTATGCATGATAATTTAGGTCTAAATGCAAAATCTGACACTAAGCTCCGACAGGATAAATGCCAATACATGTTTGTATGTCAAACATCTCTGGCTTTGATTAACAACACTCGTCACATGCTCAATGTTCTCTAACATCCAAATAGATTTCACATTTTCTTCCTGTTTCTTGTCTAATGCAGAAGTCATAGCAGGAAACATCTCTGTCCAGTTTGTGATGGTATGATGATCAGGTACTCTCCCATATCTTCCAATATTGAAGTGTCACCTAAATACTTCTGTATCATGACAACATACTTGCTATTTTTGAAAGTTTCAATAGCAATGCATGATGTCAGATAGAACAATGCTCTATATTTACTGAAATGGCATCTCTCGCCAAACAGGTTTGTGCATGTTGCATCAACCCCAATTCAAGCCAAGTCAAAATGATAGATGAATGCTGGTAACCCCTGTGTATAGGTATGTCTTTTACAAAATTAGATACTGTATAAGTAACACATTAATACATTAATTGCTGATAATAAAATAACATTAAGGTTTTTTCATTGTAAGTTGTTTTAGAGTATACATACATAATTGTAAAGTATAATAAATGTTTAAAACAATATTGTATAATATAAATATATCTGAATTATATCACCTAAATTTTGATGTCAGTCATACATACTCAACTTTTGCTAATCCAGCCAATCCTCACATAGAGAGTTGTCAGATTACCAAGTGTATACAGCCTAAAGGAAATAAATGATGTGACCTGTCACCCTTTGATCTAGATCTATCTTGGAAACAGGCAAGCAAATACAATATTGTGAAAAGAACTGAAACAAAAGTAAACAGGATGTGTGACATAATTGATACTTTCATGGAAGAGAAAGCACATCACACTGAGGAATATGCCACATACTTAAAAAGTCAGATTTTTAAGGACGGATTAGAAAAAGTGTACTATAATAAGATTATGTGATTTAAAATATATAATCAGGAAATATATAAAATTTTGATTTCTTATTATCGTTGTTACAATGTGGTGATAAATTTTCTGTAGCATTATATATAGCAAACAAAAATACAAATTAATAATTATTTGTATTTGATGCAATTCACAAAAAAGTTGTATAATTTATATTCCTATTATTATTAGTATATAATTATTTAAAATTACATGTAAAATTTATTATTCCAATAAATTATTAAATATATGAATTTGTAAAATAAATAAAAAATTTCAAAGTACCTTCTGCTAGACTGATGATTTAATTTTGTCGATGCTATGCGCAAATTTTTTTGCCCAAACTTCAGGATTTCATAAGCCTCTCTAGCCGAGGTTACGAATATTTCACGTAATCCTGTAAAAATTTTTAAATTACATAATTTTATTCATTAACTTTTTTCAAAACTGAAACTTTATTTTACCTTTAACATAAGCATTTCCATTTTTATCCTGACCTAAGCTTAGCTTAGTCTCGTATCTGCTAGTCGATGGCACTAATAAGTCAAAAAGATGCTCATTATACACTTCAATAAACGAAACCCATATCAAATATACAGTTTTCTTATGATCCGATGAATCATTTTCTTCACAAGGCACAACAGAAAGATTATCTGTTGAAATGAAAACATTGAAACAGATTTTAATTTTTAAATTAGCAGCTTTAAATCCATAATTTAAAAAGCATACAAACCTTGATTTTTGAATAAATTATATTTGTTTGTGGCATCATTAGATGTGTTGGACGACTGAAGGGAAGCTGATCTCATTGAGCTGCTGTATGTACAACTTACTTCTGAATCATCATCTGTTAGCTATTAAAAATAAATTCCAATATTTATTTTGGCATTATTTGAACAAATAATTTCTAATATTTACTTTAGTTATAAAATAATACTAACTTCATTATCAATTACACCTAATAGTAATTTTTTAGCCAACAGTTCCTCTTTTTGCTGTTTGTCGGACAGACATGTTACTTCATTTGAGTAATTTGGTTTAAATAAAGGACTCTTCATTTGATATCCCTGTATGTTATTAAAAATAATGCTTAAAGTTCGTGGAATCAGACCAGGCTGCGAAGGCTTTCCTAGAAAATATAAAATAAGACTGATGAAAATTTATAAATTGTAAAACTTGTTAATAAAATTCATGTTGAGAATAATTTTCCTGACACACACTGTGATTATCTGCCAATTTTCACTCGAATCACAAACTTGTCAAACAGCCTTTCCTTTATCCACTTTCACCAAGAGTATCTTTAAAAAAATATGAAAAAGTCTGCAAACTACAAATATTCGTCTACCACTATAATCTTTATCAAAATCATCAAAGATTTGTACATCTCTCTCATCTTTACTTCTCCCCTTTCATTTTCAATAAATCAATCCATACTTTAATTGATATTACACATTCTTAGTTAAAATTTTATTTTGAATAATTTTCTGGTAATTTGTCATTTCTATATAATTTTTAGAGGACTATTTATAAATTTCTATTTAGAAGTACATTATTGATTTTGTTCTACTTTAGTTAGTAATTTACTTTAGTTTTTTAGTATTTTAGTAACATTAATAAATATAAGCTGAGCAATTCACTAACTCTTAAATCCATGTCATTAAATATTATTGATGTAAATTTTCTAATTTTTTAAACCTATTTGTAGGTCCTTTTATTTGGAAAGCCACACTCAACAAGAAGACATTTGTTTAATTACAGATTTGCATTTCTGGCTTACTATCTTCCCTTCAATTCCTTATTTTATTTAGTAAACTTAGATATGAGGATAAGAAATAAATAAGACTGGTCAAGGCAATCTGATAGCAGGCTCCACAAAAGTAAATTAAATATTAATTTTGTTTAAAATAAATTTTATAAATTCTTGGAATCAAGTAGTTGTCACGCATGCATGTGGACATGAGCAAATAAATAGATTGAACAAAACATAATACTTTGATTCATATTTTGAATTCTGTCAATCACATCTTTTGAAAGTGAGTCTTCCACAATCATCTTACTGTCAATTTAGCTCCTAATAACTTTTTCTTTACCCAAAATTATTGTATAGGATTGTTTACATTAGTTGAGTTATATATGAAGTAAAAAAAAAAAAACAAACTACAAATTTGACATTTTAAAACTTAATTCACAATTTTTTGTTTTTGTTTGGAACAGAGTGGAAAAAAATGAACAAAATCTCTTTGAATTGATGAATGTGCACTGTATTAAATAAATTCCTTTTATCTCTTAACATGTTTTGATTTTTAGACCTATTTATGGAACTTTTTATACAAAATAAGAAATTATTATTATAACAAAACTATCTGCTCACATATGAAAGTAAATAGAAAATTTGGGAATTTTCATTTAATTTAACAAAAAATAAGAAAACAGACAATGCAATAAAGTCTCTATTATAAAGAATACAATACGTGGAAGATTCCTACAATGCAAAAACAACTCAAAGCAATTATTATAATTTTATTCACTAAATGTCAATATATATAACTTTTAAATCAATTACCTTGAATTGTATATGATTTTCCAGAATTTGTTATTCCATATGCAAATATTAAACAATTTTGTCCATCATTAAACTGTTTTATTGTATCGCTCATTGTTATATTAAAGAATTCTTCTTGTCCAACTTCTGGTCCGCAGACTTCCGTGAAAATAAATTTCTGGCTTAACTTACTAGTATCTTGACTATGTGTCTTTGTGAATAAAGTCTTATGTAATGGATGCATGATTACTGTGCTCTTATCAATAACTTCAATACAATCCTGTAAGAAAAATTTCATAGTGTATTTAAGTAAATATCTTAAATTTTTATTTAAAAGTAATACTAGAAGTAAAAAAGAAAATAAAAATAAAATTAATACACTTAATTTAAAAAGACGAAACTTCCAAATTTGAGAAATCAAAATTGTTCTTTATTTTAAAAATTTTTCAATCATTCTAGAGCAACCTCAGCTTGCTGAGAGTATGAATGAACAGTAAAGAACACACAAATTTAGATTTATGTTAAAACATCAGCAGTTCTCAAAATATGATCCATGAATAGATAATAGTCCAAGAACTTGAGTCTGTTGGTCCAGACTGACCTAATCATTTTTCCAAAATACAATTCTTTGCTGTTTAATCAGAGAAAAGAACATTTTCATTTACTGCATCTATTAAGTCAGGTTACTTGATATATTGTGAATGAAAATACAGTGGTGTCTCATACAACGTACTTAATCCGTTCCAGGTGCACGTCCGTTAAGTGAAACGTCCGTTATACGAAACGCATTTTCCCATAGAAATACATGTTAAAACATATAATTCGTTCCGCAGCATAAAATAACCGTACTGTACCATAAAAAATGAAAATGGAGCAGACATCAATTATGCCGGGTAGTCAGATGTGAGGAGGAGGTGGAAGAACACTTTCTTTACACATTCATACAGATACAGACTTTTTACACATTGCAGCGGGTCTTTTTTTATTGTTTTTTAATCGGAGTCAGATTCAGGAGAGGCTACCGGAACTTGCAGGGTCAACTTCTCTTGTTCCATCCTTTGTTTTTTGCCCGCTGGCTTCTTGAAAAACATGACCAAGGTGGTCTGTTTCTCTTTCTTCTTTAACACCTGTCGGAAATGACGGACAAAGGTGTCATCGTAGAGATCATTGATCCTGTTGGCCTCAGCTCTGTTTGGATAATGAGTGTTGGTAAACTCCTGAACCTCTCCCCATTCGACAAGAAAGTTTTTGTCAACTTTCACTCCTGATGATTTCTTGCTTTGTTTCAATTGAAATCACCTTTCTGTTTTTTTTTTTTTTTAGAAGCCATGGTGCATTATAAATGACTTAACTTGCCAGATTATATGATACGAATAATTCTTTATTAATTAAGATCACTAAACACTTCTACGAGCTACTCTCGCTCCGTTTGTTTTTTACAACCTCTTTTCATCCCGCCACCTCGGCATCTACACAATTACATTTCGTTTATTTAAATCGTCAACATATACTGTATTACATTACATTTAATGTTTATTTAAATCATCAACATATATTACATTACATTTCTACTTCAGATATACTAATAATACATTCTAATAATACTAATATATCCTAAAAATAGCAGATTGTCATTGGCAACGGCAAAAGAGTGGAAACATCATTCGCACTTGTTCAAAGAAAGTCCATTGTTCGCCTCACGTAACTGCCGAACGGAAAGTCCGTTGTTCGCAGCAAGTCCATTGCTCGAGTCACGTAACGGTCAAACAGAAAGTCCGTTATTCGAGGCGTACGTTATACGAGGCACCACTGTATTTTGTGACTTACCTTGGACTTACCTTTACCTCTGTAAATGTCACATAAAGTGACATTTACAGGGGCAAAGGTAGTCCATGGTTCATTTGTGACACAGTTTAATTAAGTAGTCCACAGATTGACAACTTTGACAATCACTGTTCTACATCAGTGGTTTCCAAGCTAATGAAATCTACATAGATTGACATTTTCAAAAAGATTAGTTACGAGCACTAGTAATAAAGATTCTTGAAAGCATGCATTAAATAACATGCACAGTCTTAAAAGGTCAGTACGTATCTAACATACTGCATCAAAGTTATACTTCAGTCTGTAAGCTTCTCATTAGCTGCGTTTAACTAATTCACATGCATATAAGCATAACTCTGAATTAGTAATGAGAACTGACCACACTATGAGGAAATGTAAACATACTTATCACATTGAAATAAAGTAACATTCTATATATTCTAACATTATATTGTGATTCTATCAGTATAATTTGAGGAAAATATCTACATTCTAGTTGTTACACCCAGCTCCACCCAGGTATATAAAGTATCCATTGCAGTAATCATGGCCCCCACATCCTACAGCGGAGCCCCCAGACCAGGATCATTGGCAAGCTCCCCACTTGAACCCTTAGTGGGTGAGGCAAGAAACCTAACCTAGAATATAAATTAAACAATGTCAAGAATTAAATATTCCAATTAAATTGAACTCAATATTCCAGAAGAAAAATCCAAGCAAAGCAAAAAATACAAGCTGGCCATCTTCATACCAGGCCCCCTGACTAGAGTCCGGTCAGTCACTACCACAAGGAGACCATGGCAGTAATCAATTGTAAATTTCAAATATGTATGTGGTAAAATCCATTTTAAGAACAATATCAGAATACCTATTAATCACTGGTGGGCATTTATTAGAATTTAGAAAGTACCATTCAAAAATGAAAAAACCCAAGTTGTTAGATGTGGAAAATTAAACACTTATGTAGTTTTCAGTGTAACATTTTTAACTCCATGCTGATGAATACTATATGCTACCCATCTCAGTAATGATATAATGTGTGCACTTTTCACTATATCATTTCACAGTAATTAAGAGAATCTAATATTTGGTTTTTTTAATTATATCCTTTTTTTTACAGGAATTATATTTAATTTATTATATTTTAATTTTTTTGCCAATAGATAACACTACATGTAAAACCAGTAAATTGAATGTAGATAGTATGACCCTATTATCTAAGGATTATCTAAGTTAAAAGTATGTTAATGTAACTGCCAAGTTTCATAGCAATTGGTTGAACAGTCTAGGAGTGTATAGCAAACAAACAAACATCCTCATTTATATATATATATATATATTACTAGATACCTTCTTAATGTTTTTGGGCTCTTTGAACTGCTCTGAAGAGCACTAGTCTAATATAGAATAGCAGCTTGGAAAATGTTGTTCTACATCAGTGGTTCCCAATTAGTTTTTCCTGCGTACCACTTCAAGAAANATTATCTAAGTTAGAAGTATTTAAATGTAACTGCCGAGTTTCGTAGCAATTGGTTGATTGGCCTAGATGTACATAGAGAACAAACAAACAAACATCCTCATTTATATATATATATATATATTACTAGATACCTTCTTAATGTTTTTGGGCTCTTTGAACTGCTCTGAAGAGCACTAGTCTAATATAGAATAGCAGCTTGGAAAATGTTGTTCTACATCAGTGGTTCCCAATTAGTTTTTCCTGCGTACCACATCAATAAAGAGCTCAAACTCGCATACCCCTTATAGCAAAAATTCATATTAATCCATACTAATATAAACTCGAAGGTAATTCTGACTGTCTGTCACCTTTTCACGTCTAAACCGCTGAACAGGTTTTAATAAAATTTGGCACAGAGATAACTGACATGTTGGAGATGGACATAAACTACATTTTACTGAGAAAATATCTTACTCCCACGAGAAAATTCGATATAATGCAGGCAAAGCTGTGGGTAGACAGCTAGTGATAAATAGAATAAGTTTCTCTTACATTTATTACCTTTAAAATAGAATTCTAATAATAATGAAAATAACGTAAGGTTATTTAATTTTAACATGACAAATGTGCATGATTTTCTTTTCACAACTTTGTAAAATCTGGTTGCTTTTTGGTCAGCTTCAGTCTCGAGTCATCTTAGAGTCGAAGTTGGTAACGATGTTTAGTTTTTGTGTTTGTCACGGCCAAAAATTCGCTCTCGCAGAGGTATGTTGTGCAAAATGGTAGTAAATATTTTATTGCCGCTTCGCTGACATGATGATAATGTTAATTGTACAATTTTTTTTCTTGCGTAAGAATTTCATTTAGGTATTGTCACAAATGCATTTTTTGATGAAATTTCAAGAATATTTTTAGTTATAAATAAACGAATTTGTGCATTTGACATGTTGTAAATTGCCGAATTTTTGATGATCCACCCATTATTTTTTTGATTGCTTCATCTCATGCGTTTAAATTTTAAACCTACCAGTTTTAGATTGCCACACGTACCCTTCATGCAATTTCACATACCCCTGGGGGTACGTATACCACTAATTGGGAACCATGGTTCTACATCATTCTTTGAAAGCTAAAGATAGTCAAAAACATTTCTGAATAAAACAAAGAATAATTTTGCTTTCTTGAACATAGTAGTTTGAACCTTTTAAATGACAACAAAATGCCAAGTCTTACATTTTCATTTTAATAAATTTAATCTAGCAATTTATTTAAAACACACACACACACACTTAAATTCTACCAATCTGCAAAGATTTGTAAAAATCCAGCTGCAATAGTTAATGCTTAATTTTCTAATTTAGCAAATCAAAAACAGGAAAAATATCAAGTAATTTTCAGTAGTTTGATAAATCTTATATATTATTTAAAAATTAATAGTTAAACTGTTACCTTATTTCTTTCATTTAACTTAGATGCTCTAATTCTCAAATAAACTTTCACTTTTTCAGACACATCTACAAATTCATCCACTAATTTTCTTCTCAATTTATCTTCATCTTCTGATGGAGTGTCTGAACTAAGTGTAGCATCACATAGTGAAGGTGTGTAGAACTTGCCATCCATTTTTATTTTTTAATATCTACAAACTATAAAACAAGTATCTGTAAATAAACAGTATTCAGAAATGTGTTTTTTAGTCTTAAAATATATATAATTATTAATGTTTTTAAATGTTTATACAGGTAACCCCCATATAACACGGCACTTCTATAGCACGGATTCGCTCTAACACGGTTCGAGAATTGGTACCATCCCCCATATAACACGGTACTTTTATAGCACGGATTCACTCCGACATGGTTCGAGAATTGGGTAAAACCCTCATACAACAGGAAATGTAATAAATTTTTACATACTTAAGTAATAATAGTTCACGAAAATTATTATTTTCGTGAACTATTAGTACTTAAGTATGTAAATTTTCTCTTCTCGCCTTCTGTCGATACACGTGGTCCTTCTCGAAACTTGTTTCAATGTTGCCAGATCGCGACGCTTCTGCTTCTGATGTTGCCGAATGTTTTTCCCTTATTCCATACTTGCTTTATTCTTCATAAGTGCTTAGCACCATATAAGGAAATTTATAAAGACCTTTTAACTAGAAGCAAGCAATCTAAAATTACATACATTTTGCAAAAGGTAAAGCATGGATCTGAAGATAATGCAGAAAAATGCTCAGAGGATAAGGATAACTTGCCAAAAAGAAAACGCTCTCGGTTAATTAATAGTGTTTTTAGTGATGACGAAGAAAACATTGTTTAATTTATATTAATATGTATCACTTAAAAAATTTTAATGAAGATATTTATCTTAATTATGAAAATATACTAGAATGTTTTTTAATTTTTGGAACCTAACCCTTCTTTTCATATTAGTTCTTTGTTTCGTATAACACGGATTCGCATAACACGGCAATTTTTTGGAACGTAACTACCGTGTTATATGGGGGTTACCTGTACATAACTTAAACCTAGTTTACAATTACGATAGAATCCCGAAAACTCAACTCTTGATAACTCGACATTCTGTAAACCTCATTATGTCATTAAAAAAAATACATATAATTTAATTTTTACCACTATAATTTAACACTGGGATCAAATAAGTTATCCTTCTCCACTGACACCACCATATAATAACATCAATTCCACATGTTAACAAAGATGATAACCCTTTTTCTAAGATGCCACTGCAAAACGCCATGACACAAATGTCAAAAACTTCAAAAGTAGCCAATGAATAGCCAATATTTTTTAAATTAATAATTTAATTATTTTTCCACCACAAGAATGCAAGGTAGCATTGCAGTAAAGCACTGTACAAATGCTATTCTTCTAGATATCAGCCAATTCCTGAGATGCAATCCAACATTAAGACAAAGTGGAAACTATTGCTGAATCTTGTGCTGTTGACAGAAATATTTGTATGTGGTGCTACATGGTCAAGATAATGCCTTGATGAAACCAAAAGGTTCAAGAAGGTATACAGAAAACTTGCTTAGCATGGCTGAGTTTATGATCTTCTGAACTACAAAATCAATATACGTAGTACGATCCAAAAGTTCGGGGACTTGGCTTAAAATTCCTTACCTTAAAAAGTTTATATTGCCGATGCACAACCACCTTCAAAGTAATCACCTTGGGCAATGATACACTTTTTCCAGCGCTTGTATAACTTCTGGAAGCACTGCTGGAAGCCATTTTTTGAAACCTCCCGTAAGGCCTCCTGCGATGCTGCTCTCACCTCATCTGATGACACAAAACGGCGTCCCTGCAAATGCTTTTTCATTGATGGAAACAAATAAAAATCATACGGAGCTAAGACCGGTGAAAGCACATTAATTTGAGATTTGGCGAGAAACTGTGTGACCATTTGGGACCGATGTGCAGGTGCGTTGTCATGCAGAAGGTACCAGTCTCCATTTCGCCAGATCTGCGGCCGTTTACGACGAATGGATTCCCTCAAACGATGTAAAATGTCTAGATAATTGAGAGACCAACTCAACATTTTCCTCGTTCCGTGAAGTCGAAGGTTGGCCAGAGCGTTCATCTGCAATGGATTCTCGGCCCTCTTTAAACCTTTGATTTCACCATGATAGAATCACCGTACACCTTTCTTAGCAATTTTAAAGTCTTCATAGATGTTTTACCTAAACGCTGACAAAATTTAATGTTGCAGCGCTGTTCTTGAAACTCCATTTTTATTACATCACCAAACAAAGGTAACTATCTCCGAAAAAAAGCAACAGCACTCGCGATTTAATCACGTGGCATGGGCGAAATCAACTTGAACACGTAGGGGTAGTTTGATAGAATCCATTTCATACGTTGTAACTTTAAATATATGCTTTTGTTGTCATACATTACTGCAGTCCCCAAACTTTTGGATCATACCATGTATATGTTAGACTGGATGTAGCTTTTCAGAGATTAGTAAAATCAAGTTAGACTCGCGTAACTGGTTATATAACAAAGAACAAAGAGTGCACAAAAGATTACACAGTCGTCACTCCCGGAAAGTCAGCGCTTGAAAAGGGGAGAGTGAAACTAGGTCACCTTGCCCGAGGGGTCAAGAGCGCCACCAACCTTTTATTACGTCATAAGAACGTTACAGCACATCGCAATCGTTGATTCCAACAGTATAACAAGGTGTAAAAAAGTTGCAGCCAAAATTGTAAAATCATCAAAAGAGAAAGCGTGGAAATTGTTTGGCAGAAAACTGGACTCTGAATACACAAAAGCAAACAAAGTATTCTGGCAGATCATTCATTATCTTTCATGGGAAAAGAGAATACTGCTTCCTGAATAAAGTGTGACTAGCTTCATAGAACTGTGTAAAATTTTCAGTTTCAGGGCTAAGGATCAAATAGAAACTTTGTCACTGTCTTCAAAGGTCCTTTTCAATCCTTCCACATTGGCTTTTGTTAGAATTCTCACTTTTCTACAGGATTCCTTTCTTTTACATGGCAGTAATCCACTCTCAAAAGATTGGAGAATGCAATATACAGTTTATTTTGATAAGTAACTTAAAAATGTAGAGTGGATGTCACAGCAACAATTTTACTGATTTAAGAGAAAAATTCACATAAAAAAGGCATTAAAGAACATTTTTTAAAATTTTCTTTAACGCTTTTTTATTCTGATATTCCTTCGTCTGAAAAATGGTTTAGAGTAAACTTTTTTTAGTTTCTTAATGTGTAAAAGTTGTATAATCATAAAGTATCTCTTTGCTACTTTGAAAGACAAAGAAAATTGAATGCAGAAAAAGATTCTAAAATGTCCTACAGCATTGAATGCACTTTCAAATTACAACATATCCAGCATAATTAAAATTATTAACTGTTAGCTAGAGAATGAGATATTTTGTCTGGATTTTTTTCTGGACACCTGTTAGAGAAGTACAAAAAATCCTTAGTTAAGGTGATAGATTGAACTACAAGACAGGACAGTTAAAAACAGTGATGAATTAAAAACAAAATTTCTGAAGATAAGCAGGGATTAATAGCTTGGATGGTCTTACTACTCTAGATTTGGAGTCTTCATTCCTGGATACAAAGCAGGAACCAGTCTATATTTATGTCAAAGGTTGTGTTTTAAATAAATTATTACTAGCTGCAAAGTTTTCAGCTTTGCCTGCCTTTCTAGCTTCTTTCAACATCTCAAAAATCAGCTTAGCTTGATAGCACAGTGTTATGAACAACTGGACAATTCTTCACTTTTACTTGATTATCACACCATAATTTTCAGCATTGTTTCCATCTAAGCAATAATACCATGACATTTACAAATTAGGCTTTAATTCAAGGATCGAGCATTTTTCACCACATTGAGAATTCTTTCTTTATCTTTTATGATTGTTCTTACTGTAGATACCAGTAGCTCAAACTTCTTTGCCAATTCAAAAATTTTCATACTGCTATCAAAATTCTTGATAATGTTAAAGTTCTACATTCCAAAGATATCATTTTCTTTTTCTTACTAGGTCCAGGAGAATCAGATTTACTTTGATTGGGTTTGATTACCTGTATGGGTTTAGAAAACATAACAAAACAATCTTAACTTTCATTGATTGTGGAATCGTAATCATGCGAGTCCTCCCTAAAGCCCTGCTAGCCGCCTCACTGTGGCGGGGAGGTGTTCCTGGATAGGTTGGGCGATATATGTCTGGAATACATATTATATTCCTGATATGGCTTCCCAAGACATGAAAGCCTTTCCAATATGCCCAGCTAAATGCTATCAGGCAAAAACGACAAAACAGCATCAGTTCCCTATGTTAAGGGCGACTGTCAGGGTGTCTGACTCCATGTTAGGAACGACCCATTTTTCAAGTATGATGGTAGCTGGCATGTGCACTCAGGCCAAGTCTTTGAGTAATATCATCAATAGGTTGCCAAATATCTTCAGATATCCTGGCTTGTAAAACATTCAAATTCTACATGGTATACTATCTGAATAGAATTCATGCCAGCTCATCTGTCGCCCAGACTAACAAGAGTCACCTATCCTGTTTAGGCAGAGGACAGGGTAAGGAAAATAAGCTATGGTCTCCAATCCACCACAAATTAAGGATTGGACAACTTAACAGAGGGTTTCTCTAAGGCCAAAGCTGAGATCCTAAGTAGAATGATGTCTGAACTTGAAGAAAGATGGAGTCCACTTTAAGAAACCTATTTATCTGAAAGTTCAAAATTCAATATCCACATTCCTGGCTTTTTAAATATTTGTTTTAATTATCATCCGAAGCTCAGTCTTGCTACTTTCATCACTCACCATTTAAAAACAATTTCTGATACTCTGCACTCCTATTATTTAAATTATCAACAACCATGAGGCAGATAATAGTGAGGGCTTATCAGATCAATGATGGACACAAATGCTCAGGGATCAAAGTAAAAATGTTTAATACACACAAAAATGACTACATAAGTATGGAAACAAAAAACCCAAAATGCATTTTGGACTATTTTCCGATAGAAAATAGTCCCTCATCAGTTGGTATTAACTAAAGGTTTTAATATATTTAAAATTATACAAGGTAAAGATAAACTTAAAACTATGCCTAAAGCTATATATATATATATAAAAATGGACATGTATGTCCC